TTCCGGCTGTGGATGGCTGCCTTTTCACTGTGTCTCACATGGCCTTTCCTCTGTTTGTGTATAATAGTGGGAGAGAGAGACAGAGACAGAGAGCGAGAGAGAGAGAGAGGAGGAGGCTGGCAAATCTGCCTGCCTCCAGGTGTCTCGTCTTCTAAAAACACTAATCCTGTTGGATCAGGGCCCCACTCTCATCAACCATTGAACCTTAATCACTTTCTTTTTTTTTTAATTTAAATTTATTTACTTATATTCATTTACTATACCTCATAATAGCATACAAAATGAGATTTTTCCATCCAGAATAGACTGTATATTGGCTCAATCAAGCTTAATCACTTTCTTCAAGGCCTTATGTCCAAGTACAGTCACACTGAGCTTCTCTCCCCACTAGAAAATAAACTCCCTGAGGACAGAGGCTTTGTTTTGCTCACTGCTGTATCCTCAGACTCTAGAGCAGAGCCTGGTACATAGTAAGCACTTAATACGTATCTGCTGAATGAGGAGCCTCTGATAACCTCATATCACCCCATGCAAAAGGCTGTGGCAACATGGCAACATCTAGAGCCTTCCACATTATCCCCAGCTGTTGGAAGTAGGTGGTAGATAATAATAGGTAGTACGTCAACTTAGTAGCTTACTAACTTAGTACTTTAGTCTTACCAGCTAAACTTCTCTGGTTCTCTGAATAAATGAGTAGTATTCCCGGGATTCTCCAAGTTGTATGGTAGTTCTTAAGTGCTTATTTTGACTGTCCTATTAACTGAAACAACAACGATGAACATGCAGCTCTCCTGCACATCCATCTGCATACTGTAGATCACCCTGGATGGCTCAGGCAGTCGGCTTGTTACTGTGTGTCCTGTACAGAATTAGACAGGTTATGGGGCAGGAGTAGGGACCTTCTGCTCTTGGAAGGATCTACATATCTATGCACATAGAAATGCATATACCAAACTCCAAAGCTTTTATTAAAAAAAAAAAAAAAAGTTGTATGTTACTCCTATCTTCTGTCCTCATCCCACCAGATGTCTCATAAAGACCAATGGTACAGAATAATTCGGGCTCATGGCAACAGTGGGTTAAGATGTTAGGTTTTTATTTATGAGTATAATTTTTTTGGGGGGGGGTGGAGAGGTTTTTGCTACAGGACGCGTGCGCTCGCCAGACAGACAAAGATAGACAGAGAGACAGAAAGCGAGAAATCACCCCCCAGCGGGGATGGCCATGCCGCAATCCCTTCTCCTCCATTCTCCTCTCGGGATCTTGGGCACGCATGCACATGTGCCCAGCGTGAGTTTAAGCCACTGTGATCGACTACATGGGAGTCCAGCGACATAGCCATTTCGCTAACTGCTGGTCCCGTATTTATGAGTATAATTTTTAAATTGAATATCTTGGGAAATAACACTGATGTACATTTCTTTATGTTGAAAGAGAAGAGGAAGACTAGTACCTGTACCAAAGAACATTGGTTCTGTAAGTCTGAGGAATGCCCCCGTGACTGCTGATTGGCAGTGACATGTCTATGGTTTCTAGGTGACTCCTTTTTTTGTTTGTTTTAAGTTTATTTACTTACTTCACCAATGACAGAGACTCCAGCAGAGTCCCCACAGCACAGTCCACCCCCAGCCTCCACCAGTCAGAGTCACGAGAACCACATGCACGTGCACGCCTGGTGTGTACAGGGAGACCGGGGGTTGTGAACCCGAGACCTTCCCAGACGGCCTCAGCATTGCCGAACACTGTGTTCCTGCTGCACCATCATGGCTGGTCAAAGTCATTGAGTTTTAATTTATTAAACACTTGCTTCTCTGTACATAGCAATACTGTTTAATTTCTTAAAATATTATTTCTCTTCTGTTATAAAAATTGGGTTTTGGGAGCTTCTGAGAATTCCAGGAGTGGGGAAGATATTTATTGTTATAGGAGTAGGTGATGCAAAGAACCCAAGTGAGTATTCCAAGAGGATCGAGGACAAGAGGGGCCTCCCATTTTTGTGACTGAGAGGAGGCATGTGACAGAGTGAACACACACTGGCGTCATGTAAAGCTGCAATCCAGCCCTGGCTCTGCCATGCTGGGTCCACGGCCTTGGGCAGGTTATTTAACCACTCTCTGCCTTGGTTTCCTTATCCATAAAATGGGAACAATAACAGTACTTATTGCATCGGGCAGTTGAGAAATTAAAACTGTCATAGGCATATCTGGCCCATGGGGCGTGCTCAGTAAAGATTACACAGATGGCATACATTCGCAATTTCTAAGATTCTTTGCTTCTTGCTTTTCATTCCTGTCTGGACTCCAAAGTCTGCCGTGGGGAGGTCTTATACAAGAATGCACTTATTTAGTGTCTGCGAGTGATCTAACAGCGCAAATAGAAGGCCTAGGCCCACCTCGTATCATTGTCACCATATAATCTTAGCTAAATTGTTTAACCATGCTAGGGGTTTTCATCTTCTAAAAGGTGAGGCTTGCTCTACTTTAACTGGCTTTACGGGGTTATATGAAATAGATGGGAATATACTTTAAGGTTTAAAATATAATTGCAGTGAAAATACATTATCGTAGCCAACTCAGAATGCATAGATATGAAGTCACAGATTTTTTAAACATTAATTATTTATGGGTCTTTTCTGTTTGAGGATGCACTTACATTCTGCCCTGAGAATCACCCCCATCTGTTTTAACATGTCTTCTCTGTAGCATTTTTTTTTAAATATTTTTTAATTTAATCCCATTTGTTATCATTATCTTTTAATTTGACCAGACAGAGACATACAGAGAGCGAGAAAGAAAAGGAAAATGAGAAGCAAGCCACCAGGTCTGGGACTTGAACCATGGTTAGCCATGTGGGGATCCAGTGTCATTACCATCACACTACCTGCCGGCCCTCTCTGTAGCATTTTATCTCCACCCACGATGTTCAGTTGCCTAGGTGACAAAGCTAAACACACCATGGATGGAGGACCTGCCCTGCCAACGTTGTTTTCCATGTGTTTTATCAGGTGTCACCAACACATCAGCAACCAGTGGGCCCAGGAGAGCAGAGACAACACGCTCACACAGTCCTGTCCTCCCCTCCAAGAGGGACGGTCAGCCTAAGGTATGGCCACTTGAAACAATGCATGTCTCATCTCAGGAGTGAACTGAAAAACAGAACAACAAAGAAAAACCAGAGACACCATAAAATTTATATACAGTTGACGAAACACCCCTTTTTTATTCCAGTTTTTTTTTTCCCATCTATCAGCTATTAAAGATTTGCTAATGGGGGGAGGGTGATAGTTTACAATAAGTGTTTTGCAGAATAGGTAATGGTGATTATTGGGTCCATTTAGAGCCATGTCACATTAACCTCTGTATTAAATGCACAAGGTATAATTTTTTTTTGAGAGGTTTTTGCTATAGGGCGCATGCACTCGCCAGACACACAGAGACAGAGAGAAAGCGAGAAATCACCCCCCAGGGTGGATGGCCATGCCACAATCCCTTCTCCTCCATTCTTCTCTTGGGATCTTGGGCACGCACGCATATGCGCCCGGCATGAGTTTTAAGCCACCAGGTCCAGGACTCAAACCACGGTCTACTACATGGGAGTCTCTACAAGGTACAATTTTAACATAAAGTAAGGAGTCTTTCCCAGAAGTTCTTCCAGAATACTGGAAACTTGGAAAACCTTGAAAGTACATATTCAGAAACTTGAAAGAGCAGTATTGCTCTGTACTGGCATTCTTTGTGTTTGCTTATTTATAAAGTCAATTTTATGAAGATGGCCCAAAGGACAAAGAGAAGCTTGAGGGCAATGATGGCAAGTGGCAACAGCTGAGTGGAGTGACTGTGACATTATCCAGCACCGGTTTAAGTCTGGTCTAAGCAAAACCTCTACTGTATTTCCTAACCTTTCCTCTCACTCTTTGAAGGGACTTCAAGCTCTCTAAACAGTGCCGGCTGGAGCCTTGCCACTGATCTCATCTCTCTTACCTGTCTTACAGGAAGCCCAGGGGAGAGGGCAAGAAGTGCCGGAAGGTGTACGGGATGGAGAATCGAGACATGTGGTGCACCGCCTGCCGCTGGAAGAAGGCCTGCCAGAGGTTCATCGACTGATAGGCCCCCGCAGAGGGCTGGCGCTCCAGCCGCTCCTGCACTCACCTTCCGCTGCCATTGTCGGAAAGAGCTTTTCCTTCTGAACAGAACAGGTTCAAAGCTCTGGAAAAGCACTTCTAGGAACCTTGGTGGAATTACAGCAAAAAAAAAAAAAAAGTCACTCTCACTGCTTGTACTGAGAATCCAGCCTAGAGCAGCGATAACTATTTTTCTTCCTTTGAAAGAAAGGTCAGCTTTTTTTTTTTTTGCTGTGTGTCTAGGTCTTAAAATTGAGGACTTCTGTAGCAATGAAACCAACAAAGCCCATTTTACCTAGAAAGGCATCTTTTGATAAGCTTTCTGAATTATGCCAGTTCTGAGATTTTTTTGACACTTACAAAAATAAAAAAACATAAGCTACATGTTATTGAGTAGCATTTGTACAAAAAACAGTACCTATTTTGATTGTGAATAGTCTTTTCCCTGTTTTCCATTTGACGTCCTGGAGCAGTACACGTCATGATGTGTTGTAAGAATAACAACACTCCAAGTATCTTTTCTATGTCTTTTTTGTTTGGTTGGTTTTGAAGTCTCCCCAAGCTGAACCATGGTAGAGCTGTTAGCTTGGAGGGCCCCACATGGCATGAACTCGAAAAGCGATCAGCAATGGAAATCACCAGCAGACTTCAGCCCCGAGCTCTGTTCAGGAAATCCAGCTGTCACTATTGGGAAATATCTGGGAGTCTTCCTGGGACCTATAAGAAGCTCTTCCCCAAGAGGCAGCACAGCAAATTCTCTACTGCCACAGCCGTCAAGAACTGGCACCTGTGGCCATTGGGTAAGCCTCGATGCTTCTTTCAGGGATGTAATACAAACCGCAGCTCGGATATGTGTGTCACTGCTTGTCTGTCAAGATTGTAGCCAGGTTAATGGGCCATCATGCCTTCCCTCAACACTCCACCACTGACTGGTTTCAGAAAAGGTAGAGAACTCCAAACTGTCCCACCAGGTTCTTTTGAGACAACAGAGCACAGAGACATGTCCCCATCTGTTCAGAGTCATGTTAGGTCAACAAAGCAACTTCCTTTTTGAGTGCACTTTGATAGGTTTTATGCTTTAGCATGTCTGGGGAATGAATTAATAAACACTACAAATGTTATATGGGTAAATGGAGGGTTCGAACCTTTATATTTCATATAAAAATATTGGAGCTATTTATTAAGAATTTGCTCATAAGGGAACATACAGAACACCAAAAGGCAAATGCACATTGGTATAGGAATGTCTCAGTTTGGCAGGGCCAGGGCTTACACCGTGTTCAATTTATTGGTTTTCTAAGCTGTTGTATTTACTCATTTGTTTGTTTTGGTGGCTGTGGTGTGGGGAGAAGGGAGTCGTTGTCAAGCCCTATAAGTAAGCTGATTCTCTGCCCTGTTCTCAATCGCCCTGCAAAAGAGGCATTTCTCCTATACCTATGCAAATAAGGAAGAGCACCTTACAGGAGGCACTGTGTTGGGATCAGCCATAGGAATGTTAAATGAAATTGCACAGAGGAGAGTTTAATATATGCTTAGAGATTGTACATATGCTTTTTTAAAAGAGTAGACAGAAGTCATCTAGTAATAACAGATATTCTTTTTTATATATAAGCAAGAGAAATAGAGGGAGGTTCTTGCAGTGTCACATCTGCAATCTGCACATTCATATATTTTGGCAATTCCATTTTTTAAACTCTCATATGACCTTTTTTTAATTATTCCTTGGAAGAGATCCTGGTTGTTTTCTTCTTCCTCCCCTCCTTCTTCTTCTTCTTCTCCTTCTTCTTGTTCTTCTTTTAAGAGAAATGCTTACTTCAAGAGAAAAGAAAAAGCTTCATCTAATTTCACATCAGGATTACCAGTCACCACTAGCCTCAACACTCACTGTACTGAATATCTAATGCAAGGTCAGCCAGGAAAGGGTATTTTTTTTTTTTTTTTTTTTTTTTTTCGAGGTTTTCGCTATAGGGTGCGTGCGCTCGCCAGACAGACAAGAGAGAGACAGAGAGATAGAAATCGAGAAATCACCCCCCAGGGGGGATGGTCATTGCACAATCCCTTCTCCTCCATTCTCCTCTCGGGATCTTGGGCACGCACGCACACGCACCCGGTGTGAGTTTTAAGCCACCGGGTCCAGGACGCGAACCGCGGTCGACTACGTGGGAGTCCAGCGACATAGCCATTAAACTAACTGCTGGTTCCCAGGAAAGGGTATTTTTTTTTTTTTTTCGAGGTTTTCGCTATAGGGTGCGTGCGCTCGCCAGACAGACAAGAGAGAGACAGAGAGATAGAAATCGAGAAATCACCCCCCAGGGGGGATGGTCATTGCACAATCCCTTCTCCTCCATTCTCCTCTCGGGATCTTGGGCACGCACGCACACGCACCCGGTGTGAGTTTTAAGCCACCGGGTCCAGGACGCGAACCGCGGTCGACTACGTGGGAGTCCAGCGACATAGCCATTAAACTAACTGCTGGTTCCCAGGAAAGGGTATTTTTTAAAAGGCAGAAGTGTGTTTGCTTCTTCCACCACTGTTGGTCATTTCTCCTTCTGGTGTTCTGTCACTTCACCTATAATGATGATACAATGCTCTGGCTTCATCCAGGAGGCCTGAATGATGCGTAGGTGGCCCAGTGGAAGGCCAGGGCTGGTCAACTGTTTGAGTAAGTTCACAGTGTACTTAAGTGATAATCGGAGTGCCGTCCTGAACCGGAGGTTCGAATCTCCTCAGCAAAGTACCTGGCCTTTGCTCCTTGGATGTAGTCAAAAAAGACTGAAGAGACAAGGGATTAAATCCATCCCCTCTCCCAGACCTGTGGAACACAAAGAAGGAGAGCCCTTTGCTGTGGAGCAGCCCCAGAACAGGGCCCTGTGACTCTCCCTCCCAAAGACACAGCCCACGAGTAGTTCTGAGGTCTGGCCTCGCTGAGCCAAGCTCAGTCCTTAACTGGTTTTTAGCCAGTGCACAGGTCAGAACCGCTGAGTGGAATGCAACTTCTCTGGAATTTCTTCTCCTTTCTACAGCCTTCATTACACAAATTCTGCAATTGGCACTAAGTGGCAACTCCTTTCTGTGCCAGCTCAGGGCCCTGCATACTTTCTTTGCTGGCTTCTAGGTGCAGACAGACCCTCGGTACTTTCCGAGACAACTGACACTTGTTCCCTGTGCTAAGGCCTGTAATGACTAGGAGACCACCATGCCACATCTGGCTGGCCTTGAGCAAAAGTGATCATACGTCACAGACACTACCCAGAAAGCTATGAATTGCAATATACAGTGGCTGGTTGTAAAAGTTGATTTTTTTTTTAAGTACAATTATTTTGTTTCATTTTGGAATCAAATGAAGTGCCAAATTAAGCCAGACTTTTATTCTCTGCCATCTCTGTGGAACCAAGTTCTTTCTAGATCTTCATTTGGCAGGGAGGAAGGGGCAGGGCAGGAAGAACAGTCCCACAGCAGGCTGGCTGTTTACCTGGACCCTGGTGCACCACAGGACACTCAGAGGCCTGTCTGTGCAAAAGGAGTGGCAATACAATGGATTCTGGTCCCAAAGTATTTCTATATAAGGCATGTTATATAGCCTTTTGATGTTTTTTCCTCCCCTCACTCCCCTTCCTTCAAAAAAAGGTTTCTCATCTCTCTCTCCAAAGAAGGTGTTTCATAGTGACTAATAGGGCATTCTCTAGATCGCTGCAAAGCAAAGAGTGTTCATCAGGCAGTCATTTTAAGCCTCATTCTTCCCAGAGGACAAGTGCAGCAACGGTGGAAGACAGGACGACGACTTGGAGAAAACACCCGTAGCCAGTGGGTCAGGGAGAGAGACAGGAGGCCTGGCTCCCGTTCATCTTCTTGGTGCCCATCAGCCAGTGGTGACTGTCCCAAGCACCTCTGGGGAGTGCATGCTCTCCCACTGGGAGCAGCTGCTTGAGCAAGCACAGAGCTACCTTTAAGGAAGCAACTCCAGCCAGGGGTGTAGGGTCACCATATGGATTGCCTGCAGGTGACTTCTAGCAGGCATAGTCTGCTCTCCACCTCACCTACAGGCAAGTTCCTTCTCTTGGCTGACAAAAACCAGTGTCAGGAAGAAAGCAATGTGTTCCTGACCAGGGCTGTGTGAGCTCAGCCACTGAGGGCCTATGGCATCTCCACGCACCAACGAATTGTCTCTAGTAGACAACTGCTTGCCCGGCCGTAAGCATGCTGCAGGTGAGAACTTTCAATGGAGAAGGTCACAAGTTCATGTTCTTGGGCTTTCGGAAAACTGCAAAGAGATAATCACATGTACGTCGCCAAGAATTTCTGAAACTGAAATGTCCTCCATTACATTTCAAGATCACCGAAGCTTATATCTGCTGTCTTTTGGGTGTTGCATTAAGCCACAATTTTGAAAGCAGCCCTAGGTTCTAAATGAGCCCCGTACTCTGAATCCAATTCTCCCTTTTTCAGACTCCATTGGAAAACAAGAATGCATTCGCTTTGAGAAGGTTCAGAGAAAAATGGCAAGAACTATGCCTATGGGAGAGAATACCTTGAGAATAGTAACAAAATACTGTAAATAATATTCATTTCCTCAGGGAAAAATAGAGAGTATGTGAAAACATAGGGCTGGAGAATCCTAAGACTAGGAAGAATTTGATTATCCGAAGTCTTTTCTAGTCAGAACAGTTTTTTGTTTTTGTTTTCGTTTTTTTCAAATGGACTTGGTATCATTTGAAGACAAATTTATGTGACCTGGACAGTACCGACACATTTCTGTGAGGCTTGGAGGAACGCTCTACGCAAAGGGGCAATTTCTTTGTCGCTGGCTTAAGGTTGACATTTGAACCACAGCCGCAGTGCTCGGTGGGTATTCATTGACTCGTGCAAGGCTTTTTCTGAATGTAATTGTGAATATGAAGCCTTGTTATTTCTTTTTATAATCATCCGGCTGGGTGACTACTTATTAGCTATTAGCAGAATTCTGTAGATGAAAGCAAGCCGTTAAAGATGTGCATTTTGCTTTCATAGCATGCAAAGGAGCAAACTTCCATGGACTTTTGTGGACAAGGTGCTGCTTTTTCTCACGACCCTGTAGAATTTCTGTCGACCACATCAGCAGTAGCGTTGCCCTCTGTGAACGCAGGGAAGAATTTGTGCATACAAATGAGTGGAAACAGAGCAGGATTCATGAATATGAATGAGAATGTGGACCATTTTGGAGAATGTACTGGGCACAAGGGTCAACTGGAAATGACATTTCTCTAAGAAAGTCACCCTACCATCGGCACACAGACAGACACCCCTGTTCCTCATACCTGTGAGGACTCCGTACTCCAGCTGTTCCATTGTGTCTGTTTTGCATTGCAAAGAGGCAAACTGGAAGTTGGTAAATAAAATGAGATTGGCACTCTTAGATACCAATTGTATCACTTAGTGTAAGAACATGTAGAATGTATTTCAGACCAACTCGTTTGCTTATTATGACTGACTTTGAAAAAACCCACATCCAATGATGTACATGCTTTAAAAGGTGTTTCTATCATAGGAACAGGTATCAAAATGCAAGTTTTACTTCTGGTCCTGTTGTGTAAATAGCTCCTTTTTTTTTTTTTTTTTTTTTTCCAAAAAATGCCTTTTTTT